CTGAGTGTAGGAAATGGGGGGGCTGCAGCCATGAGATACGAAGGCAGTGAGAAATTGCAGAAATTGGACAAAACAAAGTTCATCAGTGGGCTCACAAAATCACAGAATGGTTGAGGTTGGAAGGGGGCTCTGGAGGTCACCATGTCCAGTCCAAGCTCAAGCAGGGTCAGCTAACTTAGGCTGCCCAGGGCTGTGTGCAGACAGTTCCATTCCACGGAGACATCCACGAGCACACTGCAGCCCTCACTGGCACCATTCAGGGATGATTCCATCAGACCTTTCCCCTACGTGCAGACCCTTCCCCAGCTCCCTCAGTACTGCTGTTTCTCATTCATTAATGGATCTCCCACGAGGAATTTCTTGACGTGCAGGTAGCTCATAAACCCACAGTTTTTATGGGAGTCAGGGCAGAGCTTAATTCTATTTACAGGAAACAGGAGGAAGAAGGGCAGACTTGTGAGCTGTTTTATTGTAATTTAAGTAGGCTTCTAAGATACAAGGAGCTGGCAGAAATGTCAGAGGTTACAAGGAGTTTCCATACAATTGCAAATCCATATTTCTCCATCCTTGTGCACAACATGGGAGAAGAGTAGCTAGGGGTAAGTGGCAAAACCAGGAGGAGGAAAAGAGCTGTTAGCTGGCTCTGGTTTGTTTCTCCCTCTTATCAGATCTTAATTTTGCAGCAGCAGCTTCCACAGCAAACTCCTTTCCAGCCTGACTCCCTAGTGATGGAAGTTTCAGACACAGGAGAGCAGCTAAGGAGGCAGAGGAGCAGCTTTTTCTGTCTGCAGCAAACTGTGTGGGATCCCTCCATGGCATAGCTTGGTTTCCTTTGCCTACAAGCCCAACAGGTTCCCCAAGGAGATAGAATATTTGCTTAATTTGTCTTGTTATTAGGTGAATCCTGACAAACATTAAGACTGCACTGTGATTCTTTGATGGGCACCTGTCTGTGTTTTTTTTCTAATTGGTCAAGATTTTCTCTGCTGGATATGTATTTCAAACTGCAAAAGAAATCAATACCCTACCCAACTATTTTATGCTTGTAGACATCCCAAAGGATGTCACTGAATGAACTGAACTAATTGGGGCCATACTGACATAACACAACACAATTGCTCTACTGAGATTGTTCCAGTTTTACATCCACTTATGTACCACCACAGAAATCTGTCCACTGTTAATATTTTAAATTATTAATTTTTTTTTTTTTGCTTGACAACCAGCTTTTCCATAATTTTAGATTATATTTCCTGTTTAATCCATCCTGGGTACAATTGTCTGTTCTTTTCCTTGCAGTTCCCAGGGCAGATGGAAGAAAATGGGCATCAGTTTAGATTGTCTGTGCCAGGAAATATATAATAATGCCGTCATTCTTAAGACAACTCTGCAGCAGCAGGCTCAGACAGCTACAAAGTGGAGCACATGCATGGATTTGTCATCCTGTCTTACTCTTAAACAACATTGGCTTCTTTGTCAATTGTGAGGAAACAGGGGGAAAGCCCCTTGGAGATGAGCCACACGTTTATTTGTTCCTGAGCTCTGATAGCAATGTTGGCTGCAACACAATCCCTTTTTTTTTTTTTTGAGGTGAGCATCTTGTGCAACTTGTTCAGAAAAGTCAACAGATGTGTTTGACAAATGCACTTTCTTGACACAAGTTGACTTGTGACACCCAAGGGCAGGATGTGTGTGACAGCAGAAATCCAATGTTCCAGACAGACCAGGAGTGCTGTTACCTGCTCCCTACATCCCCACTTCTGGTGTGAAAAAAAGCCATCACCATGGTAATGATCTGTGAGCAGAAGTGCCCTAGCACACCACTGGCACAGAGTGAAACAAGCCTTGGGGAATATGAGCAGAAACTTCCTTTTCTGCTCTTCTGCACCAATGCCCACCAATCCATGGTGGTGGACATCTGATGTTTCTATTCAAACTAATGATTTAGTAAGGCTGTGTCTTTTACCTAGTGAGTGTGGTGGGTGCTTCTGAGAGGGGACACTTTGCTCCACCTCCTCCTTTTTCACAATACTCAGAACACGAAGAGAATCACTTTGTCTCATGAGCAAGTACAGGCTCTGTGGACCTAAAGTCCTACTGGCGCCCACAGCCTCTCTTTCCAGAGAGCCAGTGGGAAGAAGGTGCCTTCAGAGCTGTAGATTTTTCAGTTTTTCTGCCTTCATCAAATATTTGGGGGATATAATGAAAATATTTATTTGTAACTGCAAAGGGAGATGCCTTTTCCTGGTAGATGCTCTGTTTCTCAGGCCCTGTGAGAAGTCTGGAAGATGTCATTTAGGTGGATGCATTCCCCATCCTTGCCTGTGCCAGAGGCTGGGCCATCCACACAGAGTTTCAGTCTGGTCATAAGGGCACACAAGCAGCACCTGAGAAACTGTACTTGCACTGAGACAGACACACAGCCTATCCAAGCACTTCACGAGGGGGATGGTAATATTTTTAATGCCTCCCAGCAAGCACATGTTAAGAGGTTTGGTAACCCAATATTAATTCTGAAATGTACAGACACATCTGTGTCAACCCCTAATGAGAAAGTGCCTCTGAAGCACTCCAATAAAACACCTGCAGCCTGTGTGACTTTTGTGTTGCCTTTAGATAAACACATGCTCCCTCATGAGAGCAGCCTCGCTGTTTAACTTGATGTACTTGCAGATCATGGAGTATGAAAATGGATATTGGTAAAATCAGGGCTGCAAGTCCTGATGGCAAAACACATTTCCTTTAAAAAAGGAATGTCACAAATGATGGATGACATCTGATTGAGTGACACACTTCCACACGCATTAGCACATGCTTTTCTCAAAGTAGAATGACTTCATTTTAAGGAAAATCTCCACAAGGGAAGGGAAGGAGATACACCCCTTCCTTTTTGGTGCATTAAGAAGGATTGAGACTCTCCTACTTGTTTCTTGAATTTCAGCTCCCTTGAAAATCAAAAGCAGCACTGAATGTCCATTTCCAGCACTCCTGAATCAAGGGAGGGTTCTGTTGCTGATGTCCCCAGCAAGAGTGCCCAGAGCTACCAGAGAACCCTGTAAAGCAGCTGAGGTTAATTGCCAATATTTAGGCATAATTCAGGCCATCTCATCCTAAAAAAAGAGCCCAAAATAAACTGCATCAACTTCTGCTTCTTCCTGTCCTGGACCCCCACAGCAAAGTGCCACTGGAACAGTCTGTGGTGCTCCAGAGCTCCCTCCCGCCAGCTCCTCAGCTGGCCCTAGCCTCCCTCTAATAGATTAAAATAAATAATGATGATATGGAATTAATAGCTAACTAATGAAGGTTTAGAAAGACCAGCAAAATCATCCCAGAGCTAAGAAGCTTTCCACAGCTTAGGTTTGAAGAAATGTTGACACATGAGCAATGTTTAGGTTCTAATCCTCCTGTATCCCATGCTCAGTCTCAGTGAGAGGAACATACCTCTGCATCTCTCTTCTCTTCTGGATTTTACAGCTCTCCTCATTAATCTTGTGTTTTCCCTTGGGTGAGTCCAGCTCTGTTACCATTCAGCCTCAAGGCTGGGACCCTGGAAAATATCTTCTGAATTTTCAACAGGTATTTGTCTCCCTCATCACAGCTCTTATTCCTCTCTTCCCTTAGGAAACATAACTCATTAAAGATCAAGAAGAGCTTAACTCAAATATAGGTTTTATTTATAGAATTTCCCCTTCCTCTCCCTCCCCATCTCCCCTTCACTTTGCTCAGTGTATTTCATTTTCACCAGCTGCACTATCCTCTCAAAAACAACTTTCCAGCTCTGTAGCTCCATCAATGTTAAAGGAGTTATCCTGCATTCACAGCAAGAGGAAAGATCCCAGGTTTATACTTCTTTATCATTTAACCAGTAAAAGCTACAATTTACAGGTTCTGCAATCTTTCAAGCATTCCTTAATAAGGAGTACTTATCCTTGTCAAAAAAAGGTAACCTTAGGATTATACAAGAATAAAACTTTCTTTTGTTTTTTCTTCCAGGTGTCCATATGTCTGCAATGGGGAATCTGGCCAGCTCACAGAAACTTCCTCTCCTCCAAGAACTGCATACTGAGGCAAATTCCCAGCTTATTAAAAAATAGTTGTGTTATTTTGCCATCTTGTTTGTTCTGCAATTCCTCTGTATACTTCCTCTCTCTCTCTCTCTCTCTGTCTCCCTTATTTTTTTTTAATTATGCCGCTGGCTTTTGGAGAAAAAAAAAAAGGAAATGGAAAAGAAAAAAAGCCAAGAAATTTTAAAATATATCTTTATTTTGGGCTGTATGTCACTTCCAAACTTCTGTAGGAATTGATAGGAACATCCCAATATTCAGATGCTATTTGTCCAGTGAAGAGCTGTTTGCATGAGGAACTACACAGAAGCTTCCAAAAAACCCCTGAAGATCTTAAAGTATGTTATAAAGGTTCTCTTCAGCTTCTGACAGAGTGCCTTAATTTCACTGCTACTGATGTCTTTTCCAAAGTAAATGAAATCCAAACTGGAATGGCTAAAAGTTGAGTAACACTGTTCCAGAGTGTAATGTGGTCCAAACACTCAATTTCAAAGTTTAGCTTAGTTGTTTTAGTTTTCCTGAATTATTCCTAAGACAACTTTTCAGTTCAGTGGTGGATTTTTTTTGGTTGTTTGGTTTCTTTTTTTACCCCATCTTATAACTTCTTAGATTTTGAAGGTAAAATCCAGTTATGTTGAGATCTGGGGAACTGCTCCTTCAAAATAAAGGAAAATGTCAAAATAAAGGAAAATGTTTTGGTCGGTGGCTTCTTTCATGGAGACACAAAACTGACCATAACAACATCTTTTTAGTTATACTTCATCCATTATTTTTGAAGGAAAGGATTGACAGAATGCCTTATATCCTTTCTTCTTTAAATGATGCAAAAGTAGTCTAGAATTTTTTCTTAACATACACTTGTGACAAAATTGAAAAGACACACAAACACAAAATATTTAAAAAAAACCTGAAAAGACAGTGCAATGTTTGTCGGTGAATCACCCAAATGGCACCCAGACTCCAACACAACATCGTTGCGTAGCTGTTTGAAACTTCACTTAATTGAATTTTGCAATGCAGTTTCACAATGCCACTTTGTAAGGCTTCCTTTGTAAGAATCCAGTTCCTTAGTATCTAAAAACCCCAGCTAGGCTTTGGAGAGGAGGAGAGGGGGGTTTCAGCTCTGCCTGCTCCTGGCTTTTCACCATCTCTCCCTTCTCTGTACAGCTGGCGCATCGATCGCGCGCATCACGGGCGCGGATGGAGGGAGGGATTGCGCCTCCCAGTCCTGACACATTGTTATCCTTTGACATCACACAGAGGATGAACCGACAGCCCCGTTCAGACACCCACGGCCCCTGGTGCCTCCTCAGTGCTCAGTGCTCACGGTTTTAACGCGGCCTCTGCGCTTCTCCTGCCCTGCCACGGCAGAGCCGCAAAGGCTCTGGCTCTCCGGCACAAATCGCGCTGTTTTGGTAAACTTTTCAACCCTCCTGCCAGGCTGGGATGCTGAGAGCTGGGAAGAGCTCGTTATGCCTTAATGGCCTGAGTGGGTCCAGCGTAGGGCTGGGAGAGCAAGTGTTTATGGAAGGATGAAAAAAAAAAAAAAGTTTTATGGAGGAAGGTATGATGTCACCCGGACCACAGCCTATTTCTGGAACTAAGCTGTGAAACCCATGATACATTTTGACACATAAATGTTGCCAAGGAAAACTGATAATATAATTGTTAATACGGTCACAGCCAACTGTTTTTCAGATAAGGAGTTAAACTCTTCTATGCAAGACAGTATTTGTGGAACGTAGCACCTAGTCATTCCATGCTTTCATTGGCTCTGGGATTACTTATATCATATTTAAATAAAAGGACTAGATTATTGGGTACCACAAGAACAATGTATTGCTTATGGTCTTGCAGCGTTTATCTTAAGTCAATACAAAAGTTTTGAGTTCTAAAGCCTATGTCAAGGGCAGTGAAACAAGGGCCACATTCAGTGAACTAGTGATTTGTTTATTTCTTAATGCACATTTAAGTATCTTATTTGGAGACTCAGATATACTTAAATGATTCAGTTAAATACAGCGTAATTTAAAAAATTGTGTCTGTCTGAGGAACCAAATCTGATATAAAATATTAAAAGTTATTATGTGCAATTTGTTCTAGATAAGGCTAATGATCAAACAACTTCCTCATCTCTGCCACAGCACAATTTCTCCTGAGACAGAGGTCCATTTTTGCATCCTTCATATGAGCTTTGTTCCTGGGAGTTTGACAGGGCTCCACAATGTAATTATAGAGTGATTAGGAGTAAGTAATACCAGAAAAGAAGAGATACTTTATAAGTGCAGATATGGAAGGGAAGGGATAGGTTCAGATATGAAACAGAGAGAGACACTGTAGCCCAGAGACACGAAAACTGCTCAGAGGGGCTCAGGACACAGAGGCAAAGAGTGACAGCCAGGACTCAAGGTGTGCAGGGAACAAGTCGAGCACTGAAGGTTGAAGTCTGGGCATGAAAAACAAGTAGAACATCTCTGCCACCTGCAAAAATGCAGGCAGGCCAGAGTTTAAAAGATGTTTAGATGACCACTTAGGAGTTTCAGAGAACCAGAAATCTCCCTGAGCCTTAGACTTATGTTCTCCTCAAAAGCTTATAATGTCCTTTGTTTCCATATTTACAGGCAGACACTTTTAAGTATAAGATTATAAAATGGTATCATTATTTAAATCAATACTTTCTACTCCTTAAATTCTGAAATTTCTGATTGCAATGAAATAAAATTTTTTTTTTATCCTGGTTTGTAGTAGATCCCTGCAGTTCATTTGCAGCTATGGCCAATTTACTCTCTTATAGAAAGAAAAATAGGTCTCTGGTTGAGTGTTTCCTTCAAACACAGAATAATGTCTCTTTACTGCTGACCCTCCCCCCTCCCAGTGTGAGATTGGAGTGAGTGAATTTGGCCACGAACCTGCTGTGCTCCTGACTTTGATGGTGTCTGAAGGTCCATGAACAATTCAGTTGGGAGTGATTTGTGCTGGTGTTATTTCCATTTCCCCAAAATCAGCTTTCCTGCCATGAAGTGATGCTGTGCTGTCCCTGGAGTGGGGTGCAGGGTCATTGGAGGCTGGGTCTCTGTGTCCAGACCCCGTCTGGTGGTGCCTGTGCAGAGCTGCCTTGGCTGTGGTGTTTTCCCAGCTGCTTTCTTGGCTTCCAGCAGCAGCTCTCCGTGTTCAAGTGTCTGTAACACACTATCTCCCCACGATGGGAAGCGTGGTGGTGTGATCAGTGAGCTCCATCAGATGGTGCTGAATGTAGTTAAGGAAAATAACATCTGAGAAAGGATCACTTCTACCTCCTTGAGCCCAGTTCTTTCTGCCAGAAAGTCTCTTCCCAGGTGTCTCTTCATATTGCCCAGCAATGCCTGCAGGGCAGCTTTTCTTTGACTTCCCCTGCTTAGTAGATCATATCACACCATTTTACTAAGCTAGCAGAAAAGTCTGGAGCCTGCTCTCCTCTGATTCCCTGCCTTGAGCCAGAGTTTCAAGTTGTTTTTCCAATGTGCACTGATTTATCTTTTCCTTCCTCAAGTAGCAATTTCCCAAATAATGGGTTGGGGCTGAGTGGCAGCGTGGAACTGGGTGGCCAGAATAATTTTTTATATATTATTCCTCCTTTTTGAAGACAGGACATGAATTCCAGAGGACTGAGGACTGCTGCCAGCTCAGCATCAGCTCAATCCCCACCTTCACTGCGTGTTGTTCGCCCAAGCGCAGCAGAGTGCAGCCTTGCCTGCTGGAGCTTGGATTTCTGTGTAATTGCTTCCCATGTTACTGAATTTACAAGGTCGAATTACACACCCTGGCTTCAGCAGGGACCTTTCCATTGGCATGGTGCCAATCTGATGGCCATGTGTCTCCCTTTCAATAAGACCCAGGGGACCAAGTCATCCACCCATGTTCTTGGGCCTCCTGTCTCCTCTAGCTGGAGACCTCCTAGTCTAGGAGATTAATTGAGGTCTTCAAGTGTTGAGCCTATAGGAAATAGAAAGACTTGGGCAGAAGTTTGTCCAGATGAAGGCAGAACTTACTAAAGGGAGCAGGGCATGGTCATTTGGAAAGATTTAGTTATATATTCAGTGAGGAGGTTTAACTGGGGACAACGCAGATAATCCTGTGATGTAGAGATGGAAAATTTGCATTTATACCCTGAACATCAACTGTTCCTGCCAGTTGTGGGAATTGTAACACTTGTGGGAAACAGGTGCTTGCTCGCTCCAGTGTTCACAGAACTCTCTTCCCCACAAACTCCTCAGTTTGCAGAGAAAAAGCTGTTTGTACATAAAGAACTGTTACGCATGTTTCAGATTCTTAATGTCTATGAAGTTTCAATTATCCAGTAAAGGAGGAAAAAGGAAAAAAAAGAGCATCATGAGTATCATGTGACCAATTCATTTAAGAAATTATATGGCCCCTCAACACTTGGGGATCTGTGTGTATCTGGCCCTGCTATGCTTGTTTTCCTCTCATTACTGACCTCTTTGTACAGATGCAGACTGAGAAGTGAAAAGATGAAACACCGTGTGACAGCCAAGCAGGGAAACTGTGGCTGAGTCATGGAGAAACTCACATTTCCCAAGGATTAAGCACTGAAAGCCATCTGTAGGTGACAGAGGAACCAGGCAGGGAAAACCCCAGCCGTCTGCAGAAAGTCAGAGATAAGGGAAACATCTTAAGGACTGGTGTAAAGGTAGAGTGAACCGGTCTCGCTGTGTGATTAAATGATTCCCATCAGCCACGGTGTCACAAACAGAAAACATGTGGGCATTGCTGCCATTCCTCAGCCCTCAGCAGCCTGCTCTCCTCCGTACTTCTTGAGAGTCCCACCTCTCTCTGAGGCACTTGCAGAGTTCACAAAATCAGCAGGAATTCAGGTTGGTCACATTTGCCTTGAGAATGACAAGAATTACATTACATTACGTAATGGATGCTAGGGAAAAAAAATCAGAAGGGAAAAATATAGTAAAGCAATCCCAAATATTAGTCTGGCATCTCCCCTTGCTCCCTCTCTCTTGGGATATCACATGGTCAGCAGGGCAGACAGCACCATGGACTCAGCATCCACCTCCACCAGGAGGGTGGGAGCTGCTGTCAGCAGCAGCTGTTTCCAGAGTGGGATTTGTCTTGGATGGAGAGAGTGTCTGCTTTGGCAGTGTCTGATCTGTGGGAAATGGCTCTCCACCACCCCCATCTCCATCCTGCACCTGTGCCAAGGGCCAATTCCATCACTTATGTGTCCACAACCTAAAAACCAGGTGAGGGCCACAAGCAAGGAGGAAACAGAAGCGTGGGTGGGGCTGGAGGAAGATGGACAGCACTGGACACCAGAACAGTGGTGCTGAACCCATTAGCAATAATAAACTAATTTTCTTTGCCCAAACCACTGTTAGTAAAGTGGTTACCACCAGGCAGTCCCAAAAGGAGTGATTTCTTTGGGACAACATGGTCAGACCATGTGTTGGTGGGGGACACTGCTGACCTGAGGCCTCTTCCCAGGTCTCACCCACAACCCACACAGAAATCTCTTCCTCCATGTGTACAGGATTCCAGCACTTCATTTCAAAGGCAATGCCAGCTGAGAGTAGGTTTCTGTTCCATGGCAGTGTGGGGATCATGCTGCTTTCTTGTGGCTGTGGATGGTGACGGAGAAAATAATTCGATAAGTCTGCAGAATGTTTTTATTGTCATGTCAACAAAATATTTTCTGCCTCCACAGACTGTGGAAGTACTTAGCATGCAGCATCCATCCAGTTTTGGAAAACACTTGAAAACCACCGACAGAATCTCACTATTCCTTTTTTTAGCTCCATAATGAAAAAGCAAACAAGAAATATGCTGATTCCCAAAATGAACTAATTTTTTTTTTCTGAAGCAATTTAATTTTTTAGCTTTGATCTGATACCAGAACCCAAAGGACTTACTTGCTATTTCTAAATAATGAGTCTAATGTTTATGCTCTGAGCCTGAACTTTTCTGGTTTTGGAAAAAATGTGACTTTACATAAAAGTCCTTTGATTAAGAGATCTGCAGTCAGAGGAGTTTTCGATACAATAATGAAAAGGCCTTTCAGATCGCTCACTCAAACACTGCTCAGCACGATATTACTCAAGAAGGGAAGAAGCCGACAGAACAATCACACTATTAGTCTTTGCCTTGCCAAGTGTTGTGTTAGTCATATTCCTATGGTAAAATCTCCCAGAAGTGGCTAAGAGAAGTCTTACACTGCATGGAGCAATGCATGCCTGCAAATGCACCCTGACCTGGGTGGTCTGTCACCATGGCTCTCTCCTTTGATTGTTATTTAACCCTGTTTCATCGAGGCTTTAGGAGCTGATTGCTGTACAGAGGGAAAGTGTTTGGAGGAGAAACAGAGGCTATTTCCTCCTGCTATGGTCCAAATTCCCCTGCAGCAGGGATGGTACCTACAGCACGCTGCACAGGCTTTTGTTCCCAGTAAGATCATGGCACAAAGCACAGCCCTTGCACAGTGAGATCCCATTCCCTGCCCCATCAGAGCACGCTGGCTGCAGTGCACCCACCTCTCCTGGGTGCCAGCAGCACCCAGTCCCTGGGCTGAGCCGAGCTCCTGCGAAGGTCACCCTGCTGTCCTGGTCCTGCTTCCCGAGACGTGGGATGGAAAGAGTGACTCTGGCACTTGCTAAGTAGGTTGAAGTTTGGAAGCCGAGTGCCTGTGTTATTTATGCAGAACTGACATGTCTCTTTGTCCTGAGCCATGTGGCCTAGATTCCAGCCCTTGTATCTACAAAACATTACTCATGTGCCCGCTCCTCCTGCAAGTCCTTGATTCCAATGGGATTACTCACATGTGCACGCACACCCAGGGCTCTGCAGAGCAGGGGCAAATCCTGCTGCCTTCAGCTGATTTACACCACCACTCTGGAGATGAAAATCTGACACAGGAGCAGCTCAACAGGAAGAGAAAAATCAACCTGATACCTCCTCTGTATTCTTCTTCCACATTCCCCTCTCCACTGTCACTGGGGCAGCCTGCAGGAGGATCTGCTCCCCTCTGCCATCAGGGCATTGCTGCATACTAGGGGTTAAAATGAGAAAGCACTTTGGTTTTGTAGATTTATTGCTTTCCTCCTGCTATATTTGTAAAGCTCATCATTAAGGTCAGCCATCCCCACCCCTGCAGCTGTCTGTACATTTTTTTTCTCTGGTTCTAGAGTTGTACTTTACTGAGGAAATTATAATTATTAAAACACACAAGGTCATGCTCTAGATGAACTTGGAAACAGTTCAAATATGTTTCAGGTTTGAAACTATGTAGCAGCTATGGCCAAGTGGTGAGTTCATAACAAAAGAATGGTTAATTTCACACTTCAGATAACATTTCCCCCCGGAAAGTGGTAAAGCATATTGGGACAGGAATTATTAAAGGTCGAGAACACTGGAGACACATAATCAGTCATTAGTCCTGATAATTAGATATTAAAGATAGGCTCAGGGTGGGGATAGAGTGGTTCTGCCTGAATGAGCTAGTGTGTGTTCTTACCTTTAAATCACTCTTTTAAAATTTTTCAACTTCAGAAAGGCACCATGACATTGTGGACTTGACATGGGATATCTCAAGAGCTTCCCCACAAGTGGCTCCTCTTCATCTGCTGCAGGTCACAATTCTGGTTGCATGCCAACAGATAACATCATCAGGCCAGCACTAGAATCAAAATTTACAAACCTTATTCTGAAACAGCAGCAAAGAAAACATGCATGTGCCTCTCCCTGAGTTACTTCCCCCTGTGCCTTGGGATGGCGGGAGGAGAGCAGTGGCAGATGTTTGTGGACTCCCCAGCAATCTGCATCCAAGTTAATCACCGTTTGTCCCTTCCAAACTGCAAAAGAGATTTCCATACAAGAGGTTTTGAAAGACCAAACCTCCTCTGTGCAGACAGCAGCCTGCTAGCCTGTGTGAGATTTGTGGCTAAACCAGGTTGATCTTGGTTGGTTTTCTTCCAAAACTGAGGCTGTGCCATGCAGACCTCCCCTACTCCATTAACCTGCATTTCAGTGTTGAGGCTTATCAGCAGTGCTTCCAAAAAAACCACTTAAAATAATATTTCTGTTAAACACAAAAAAGAACACCCCAAATCCCATGAACTATCTCTATCTTCCTGAACACTGGCATCCAAAAATCAGTGCTGGATGTTCAAATCCTCCCTCAGCAGCTTTCCCCTGAAACAGCCACAGCCCAGCCCAGGTTGCCCACGCATCCTCAGCTGTGCCTGCAGGTCTCCAGCATTACCCTGCACCAGGGGAAAACACTCAGTACAATCGACTTGTGCAGCTGGAGTTGTGAAAATCTACTCAAGAAGAAAATCAGGAGGTGACTGACTTTATGAGCACATCTCAGGGGCACGTGCTGCTGCCACCCACACGTCCTGCTGCCATGGCTGGGGGGTGATACTGCACTCTAGCCTGTGGCTTTGGGGAAATCACTGACACCCCAGCTGCTGGGGTGCAGGGGAAAGGTGATGCTTTATCTGGGTTATTGCCCTAGCTAAGGGTCTTTTATTTTCTCAGCTGTGCACAGCTATGGACATGCCCACAGTCTGTCTTGGAACTGTGTCCCTGTGTTGGCTGTTCAGCTGCATGGCAATGAGGTCAAGAGGCTGAGCTTTACCTCCGAATTTTCCTTCTTTTCCAGGTATCATATTTTATTTATAATTTAGAAAGAACTTGTTCAAGTCTTGGTGGAAAAAAAAAAAAAAAAAAGGAATGGCAGTGAGCATTCAACACTAGTTTCATTTTTCATCACCATTATCAAGGCTTGGATTTTACCTTTGGAATGTCCTTATCTCAAATGAAATCAAATAAGCACTTTGTGGCAGGGGTCCTACACTCCCTCCTCACTTCATGGATCTTGTGCAATGTGCAGCATTTCCCTCCCTGCTGCATGCTTGGATCAGCTCCCCAGAGCTGACACGTGCACACATCTACCCACAGGTAATGTCACGTGCACATGCGGCTGGTAACGTGCATTATTCATGCTCCAAGGTTTACACCTGAGCAGGCTCCCCAGCCCCTGGGTACGGACAAGGACAGATGTGGCTGCTGTCAGTCTCGTGGACAAGCAGCCAGGCAAAGTGTAAAACATGTAAAACCCCAGGCATATTTTAATGACCTTAGTGAGGCTCACAGGTGGACATCAGGTGGACTGAGCCCATCGAGTGACCATCCAGAGGAGCTGTGTGTTTGTGTGCCACAGAGTGGACAACTGCCCAGCTGGAGCTGGACAGCAGCCTTGGGCTTCCTAGAAAATGTGGATGCAGACACCTGATTTTCTGCCAACACTTTTGCAAACTTGCAGGCTGAAAACTTGCAAACAAAATGAGCTGGTCCCTGCCTCTGCTTCCACCACGTGGGGGATGGACAGAACGAGCCCAAACATGATGTCATCTGCTTTCTGTGGGGTGGGGAAAGCTCAGCTGAGTCCCACACTTGGATTCAGGAGGACTGGCAGCCCTCTGGATTCTCAGAGGCTTCCAGGATTTCTTTTCATCCTGAACCTAATGTGTGACTGGCAGCAGAGTTCACAAGGATTTTCAAATGAGCTTAGAGCAGCTTGCTCATGAGAATTTGGATCCTTGGCAAATAGCCCACAATAGCTGATATTTTTCCATTTTATGGGGGAGAGTGCTTACCAGTTATGTGTAGTTTTTTTAACTGCCATAAACCAATATTTTATTTTAATGCTAATCACTCTGCCTCCCCCTTGGAACCACATGCACTCTTTGGAAGGACATTTGTCCCTGTCTGAAAGACTCATGGGCTTTTCATGTGGGTATCCTCACTGTCACTCCCATGTGTGGAGTCTGGCTGCTGGATAATCTGAATGGAGCTGCCACAGCTGGCAGAATGGAAGGGTGGAACCTCTAAAACATGGGTTAATGACAGTGCAAATTCATAACTGATGGACCTGACATACCAAATGAAGAAAAAATAAAAGCCAGAAGTGTGAGGAGGAAGAGGAGGCCAAAGGCAGATTCCTTTCAGATGTGTTGCCATTTTCTGTCTTGACCAGCTGGCTGCATCTACTGCCCATCTGAGTCCACACCTCAGCACCTGCATGTTGTTGTCTGAGTAAATCCTGCTTCTTTTGTCTTCTGTGAACACTGGGGCTAATATCTGCAATGTTCCACCCTTATTCATTGAAGAATGTTCTGAAAATGAACCACTGAAGACCAAAGGATTTAGAAATACCACAACCCAAAAGTCACCTTGAGTAAATCCATTACCTTGGATAGAGATACTGCAAGGGTGATGCCCCCTCAAACCCATTTTAATCAGTACCATTTCACTCTAATTTCTGTAATAGTTTGGAAGTATTGCTGGGAACTGCTCTAAAAGCTTTATTTTGCCTTTTTTTTTTTTTTTTTTTTTTTTTTTTAACAGAGATTCAGCAACACTAAAACGCTTTGAGAATTTGCCTCATTTCTGCAAATTGTTCCTGCTGAGGCAAACAAACATTCAGAAAAAGCACCCTTCAGAACAGAATGTTTTGATTTTCCAATGAGAACAAATATCTTAACACTTGCCACCATCCTTAATGCCAGTCAAAAAAAAAAAAATTAATGAAATTTCACAAACTTGAATGCAAACATAACATTCTGTCCCAAACAAGCTATTCTGTTGGTCTCAGTGCTAACTGTAAATTTATTTGCTTTTCAGCTTGCTAAAATATGTAAATCTTTTGTTTTCTCATTGATCCATTAATATTGTTTTATGAACTTGTCAGAGGCACTAACCAAGAAATAACAAGCAAACAAACAATGATCTTGTCTGGCCTTGCATGGAAAGCTGGAAAGAGCACGGATGAGTGAACCGAGTGGAAGTGTTGACTTCCACCACTCCAAACCCAGAGTGCAAGTGGGATGGGAACATGGGACCAGCTGGTCCAAAGAACAGCTTCAGCCACATGCTGACTTAACAATGCTGCTGCAGCTTCCAGAATGCTCCAGATGTGACAGGGATCAGAACTCACCCCTGTTATTTCAATATATCGATTCTCAGTTTGTGAAAGTTGCTCTGAATCTGCTGTGTTGTTTCATCTCAGCAACAAGCAGTATTGTGTCAGTACAGCAACACAACTGCTAGAATCAGGGAGCTACCTAAAATAACCCTGGGGCAGCCATCTCTCTTCCAAAATCTGGGCTGGAAAGTCAGCAGCATTCACTTGATTGGGAAAAGGTGGCTTTTTCTTGGTTTTCCCTGCATGCCAGGAGCCAGTGTGAAAGCCAAGACCTCACCCTGATTCTTACACACAGGTTGCTTTGTTAAACAATATTAAAGTTTCACTCCATTACTTCTCCTTCCGGAAGCAATGAACCAACTGCTCGAAGAGGAAAAGTTGTACAAACTTGTACCGACACACAACTTGCAGTGCAATTTACAAAGCTTTCCTTCAAACCAAGGATTTCCCCCCTGACTTCACCAGGGCTCCTTTCATGTCCCTCCCCTGCACCACGTCCTTGGCAATTCCAAGGAATTCTTCACAATGATGGTGAGGAATTTTCAACATGTTCAGTTGGTGGCTCACAAGGCTGTTTTTTTCTGTTTTGTTTTAGGTTTTTGTGGAGTTTTTTTCTTGTTGTTTTGG